CATGTGGGTACTCAAATGAAAGTTCTTGATGAGTGTAATATCTGGATGAGCTTATATCTTTAAAATATATATTATAAATATATGTATATGTGAATATGTATATATGAAAAATATATATCAAAAATGCATGTGGGTACTCAAATGAAAGCTCTTGAAGAGTGGAACATCGGGATAAGTTTATATCTTTAAAAACGTCAATATATAAGAAAGTACAGTGCAATTTAACAAAAGTCATTTAATAAAGCAAAATTTTAATTTTTTATAGTTCACAAATCACAGCAGTCACATAGTGACTGCAAGGTTGCTAGTATTAATATATTTGCTGAATAAATTTACAATTATTTAATTTTTTGTTTATGACTAATCTTGTGTCTTCAACACTCATTCTAAAAATTCCTAAAAAATTTTGCTTCTTATTCTCTAGATATATAATTAAGAAATGACCTTGTATCTTGTAAACTATTGACATTTTTAAAGGTATAAGCTCATCCTGATGTTAAACTCATCAAGACCTTTCATTTGAGTACCCACATCAATATTTCATATATTTTATATATATTATATATATGTATATATGAAAAATATATCAAAATGCATGTGGGTACTCAAATGAAAGCTTTTGATGAGTGTGACATCGAGATGAGCTTATATTTTTAAAAACGTCAATATTTAAGAAAGTACAGTGCAATTTAACAAAAATTAATAAAGCGAAATGTTCTTTATTTATAGTTTAAAAGTTACGGCAATCACATAGTGACTGCAAGGATGCTACTTATTTATTAATAATCTATAAATATTTTCAGACCTTAACTTTTAATTTATTTTGCTTAATTAATTTTCAATGATAATAAAAAAAAAATTGCCGCTTTTTTTTTACTAGCGTGTATTTTTAATTTATAAATTTTACTTGCAAATTAGCAAAATTTTTTATTAAATATTTAAATATTCTTATTGTTTGGTCATAAAAATTCTGATAAAATTGTAAAATTAAATGAAATTCTGAGAAATAATAAATTTGATAGTTAATTAAAATTTTGTAAAATATTACTTTATGCGCTTTAAGATAATTTTTAAAAAAATGATAAAAACTTACGGAAGAAGAACTAGATGACGGTACATGAGGTCTTCCTAATGATATATTCGGCATTGACGGTGAACTAAACAATGATAAATCAGAAAGACTTCCCTGTTGACTACTACTCGTTAAAGGTCCTCCATACTGTATATTTTCATTTTCCTGTTTCAGTATCAATAAATCATTAATAATAATAAATCATACAGCAGTATTGAGTTTTGAATAGGAGTATTACTACCTCTTGAATAGGAGTATTACTGCCAGCAGGAGGACTTGCTTGGGAGTTGTTCCCTGTTGGCGGTGAATTAGGCCCGGATTCGGGGTTCGAACCTGAGTCTGATAAAAAATTAAATTAATTATAAGTGAATTTAATGAAAATTTTTCTTCGTGTGAACATTAAATAAATAATTGAATTTAAAATTGAAATATTAGATTAAAAAATGACTCGAGCGATAAATTATTAACTAATTTATCAAAAAGGAAAAATATAATTTATAAATCCGATAAATTATAATTAAAAAACAAAATTGTTAATTCATGCAGTTATTTAAACATCAAAAATTCAAATCAACAATCAAATTAAATTCAAACTATGCACAAAAAATAATAAAACTATTAGTTTGACTAAATTTATTTTAAAGGAAGTAAATTTTTAAAAAATAAGGCGAATAAAAACAAAAAAAAAATAATTATCGGGGAAGATAAATAAAATTATATAACAATAAATTTAAAAGAATACAAAATAGCATTTTAACAATTTATGTTAAAATATTAATTATTATTATTATTATTATTATAAATAATATTTATTAATATTTATAAAGTGCTTTTGGCATGGAAGAGATGAGGATAAATTAGTATTGGGACGTACTTGCGAGGAGTGACTTCCGCTTGAGATGCGACAGGAGTCGATCCTTCCGACGTGCCGTAAGGGGTGAATTTCGTGTCGCTGCCATGTTCCGCTCCATCACACGCTGTTTAAGTCGCACCTTGAGCAAGTTTGGCTCCGAGGCTGGCCAATTCACCCGGTGTTAGTTATTTTTTATTATTACATGACTTGATTATTTTTTTTTTAAACTTTGGGACTATACGGACTTTGTTGTGCTCGCGGCACACCAGTAAAGTATTTTTTTATTTTTTATTATTTTTGTATTGTATTGTATTAAACTAATTTTAAAAAAGTGCACAGACGCCTAACAAAACACATCGTCAGAACTTTTTAATTAATTAAATAAAACATTGTGTTTACCAAACATTATATTTATTTTTGGTAATTATATACTGGTGAGAAATTTATTATTTATAAAATCATAAAAAATCGAATCTCTTTAATAAAGTGACTCGGAAAAAAAATAAACCGTAAAATAACACCAAAAAAAAAATTGAAATGTGTCAAGTTTGTTTATTTATTTATTTTGCTCGGTAGATTATTTATATAGAGTTATTTTGTCATGTCATCCTTTAGAAAGATTAAAGTGACACCTCAACACGCTAAATATTGATTTTATATTTTTTTATTCAGTGAATTTTCATAAATTATAAAAGCTTTTAATAAATTGCAGCTTAAAAGTTTTATGTGAAATTTTTTTACTATTTTTTTTCGAGAGGGAATTCTGGTCTGGAAATTTAGTTATACACGGAAAAAAGTAAATTGTAAAATTCACTCGGCTTCCAGTTAATTTTTTTAGAAAGTGTAAAAGTCACAATTTATAATTTAATATCGAAAATGTGATTAGTAGTTGTCACTACAGTAAACAACGACTCTCTCATCTTAAAAAATTACAGTTTCAAACAGTAAAAATGGCTGTTTCAATATATAGTTTAAACTATGAGGAGAAGGGGAAGGTCTCACACTCGGAAAATTTAACATTTGAAACAGTAAAAATTCTACTCTTAAAATATATATTTTACCAGTCCAAGCAAATCAATAATTATAGTTTGATTTTTAGCGTTGCGTTTAAAATTTATCATTTTACTTTGTAAATATTGACGTTGCTTGTATAGAAAATTTAGAAACTGTAGTTTATATTTTTCACGTATCAGGCGATCATTTTTTAGGTACGGAATGATAAATATCAAAGTCAAAATTCTTAATTATTATACTTTAACATTTTGGACTTTCACATAGCGAATATTACACAGAAAAATAAATTAACTTAATTCAAAAGAAAAATTCTTGAACCAAGAATATAATTTTGAAGATGGTAATTATCTTGAATCAAGACGAAAAATTCTTGAATAAAGTAAAATTTCCTTAAATCAAGAAAAATTTTCTTAAATCAAGAATTTTTTTACTCAAACCAAGAATATTGAGCTCTTCAAATATATATACTTGATTCAAGAACATTTTTAACTTCCCGCTAAAAATCTCAGATTTTCAAAAATCGGGAAGTTATTGTTTTCACCCCGTTTTGCAAAAATCGAGTTTTCATCAGATCTCGACGTTTGAAGGTCACAGGAAGCTTCCCTGACTACCCCCGCGATGCTGTCACTATGTATGTATGTATGTATGTATGTATGTATGTATGTGTGTGTGTGTGTGTGGTTTTTTTTCGTTTTTTTTTTTTATGGGCATCTTGGGGAAGCCGTTTTACGA